ATGTCAACTGGGTTAAGATGACACAAAAAATGATGGCTTTGCCAATAAATAATGTTAAACTACTCGATGACATAACAAATATAATATTTGATCGAGTATGTATATTGTGTATAAAATTAATATTGATTATAGTTCTAACTTCTAATTGAACTTGTATAATATAATCATTGCGTTTTATTTTATCTATTGCATTATCGTTATATCCATCTAGGCTTTAAAAAGACAAAATTATACACACATATACGCTCAGATGTGTGCACGTTTGATCAATGACTCCAAGTTTAATAATCTTATTGCTACCGATACAGAAATAACATTTCAAAAAGTGTTATTAAAAAAATGTCACGATGTTTTTTATTCAAACTATCAAGAAGAATTGAATAAATTAAAAGATACAATGAAAAATGATAATATGGTAAATATAGTTATGTTGTCATTATATTTTGTTATGACTTATGATTATTATCATCTATGGTTCTCAACATATTATTAAAATACCTTTATACGTTTTATTTTTATTCCTAAATCCTGTATGAAATTATATGTAATTCTGAATTCAAAATAAGTTTACTAATTTTTAGAAGTTGGTTCAATAATACTTATGCATACTATTATTTGTTTACCAGGTACCGAAGAAGTGTTTATCCGGCGTTTTAAATAATTTTCTATTCGATTTCCAGAAAAGATCCATATGCAACTGCAGGTGTGTTTTGAATTAGTATTATTTAATTAACACTTTCGTTATTTTTATTTATGTAAATTAATAATTATTACTTTTGATAGATTTATTGGCGAACTGTTTAAAAACGGCGCGTTCCCAGAAAAGTATATACTCAAGTGCATTGGAGATTTAGGTAAAGAGAAGAATGACAACAACTATGAACTACAAATGCACTGTTTGTGTATAATATTACAATCAGTTGGGCTAATATTATCAAAAGTAACAACAAAAAATTGCTACGAAGAAATTGTTTAATATAAATAGTTATTTTCCAGACGTCATATGATTTGAACAAAAAAATCAATAAACTTGTATCCTCTATGGAAAACTATGGGATGTCATCGACATTAAAATGTTTGATAAAGAAACTAAAAATAATGAATTCCAAGGGTTGGATGGATGAGGGTAATTGTTTTTAGTTTTAAAATAGTTTAAAAATCTACTGCTGTATAAGTGTTGTGTGTACCACATTATTGAGTCACTGTTTTTTCTAAATAAATAACTAAAATAAATTTTTCTATTAGTCATATTACTCATATTATGGGTAGGTTTGTTGCTAAAACAAATTGTATATAATAATATTATATTATTATTTCTTGTAATTTTTGCAGTTCTTATTAAGAGGATGTCTGTACAGTTTTTTTTCTCTCTCTAACCCACGCTCAACATACATAATGTGTGTTTAGCAGAACCGACCTTGTGTTGTTATCTTTAGTTTTATAGTGATTTGACCTATTATATAACAAAGTTAAGAACCTGTCGGATATGTGAATTTTTAAACTGTAAAATTGTATACACTCATAACAGTCGTAACGGGGTTTGGGATTTAGAGAACCTATACATAAAAAAAAGCACTTAAATACTTCATATACCTGAACATTCATATAAGAACTTAAAAATATTATAATAAGCAAAAAAAAAAGCACGACAGAAACTATATCAACACAAGTTTTTTCTATACTGTCGTTTAATTTTTTATTTTATTTACAGATTCTGTTAAGTTTGCGGGGACAAATTACAATGCATATCGTGATTTACCACCACACATGCAAATGGTGTATAGGGTAAGATCAAAGAAAATAATGTCTGACTGGGCTTATGGCGAAAGTCATGACCATCGTTTAAATGTTGTCAACAATTATAAAATTGAGGTACGTTCCAACATACCACCTAAACTGTAAAATATTTTCTGTTGTCAAGTACCTATATATAATTTCTATACTTACAGTTGATAGCGTGGTCCCGCTGATAGCCACCTCCTCGGGTTCTCCAAGCCGAGGCCCTGAATCAGTTGTATTTCTGCCTCCTTAGTTCTGTTTATACACACGACCGCGGTCATGTGCTCCGCCGACGGGACGTGTTCTACTGTTGTTTAAAATTAAAATAGCTACCGCGGTGCACGACTTTCATGTGCTCCGCGACGTGTTGTAGCTGCTGTTTGTATTGTTTGTACCTAATGTTTATCTCATGTTTTCTAATGCCTAATAAATGAATCTAAAGTGTAACTAATTGTTTTAATTTCTGACACCCTTAATTTTAGTAGCTAAAACACGGTTATTAAAAACGAGTGTTTGGGCCGGAAACGAACAACAATAGACCTTGGTATCCACAATACTTCGTATCGCACTCACACCCCCAAAGACCTGCGTATGATGAGTGCATACATGTATTCGCAATTCGGTCGAAGTGGATGGGTTCACCGAGCAAGACTATCAAAGACTTGCTCGGCAAGGCTAGTGTGTGGTGGGTGTGTAAATGTGTGTGTACATATGTGTGGGTGACGGGCGTGTGCTGAAATAACTACTAACAACAGAAATGTAACTCAAAAAAATGGTAACTAAAACATAACGGTATTTAAATATTGCTGTATTACAGTAAAAAAACGACAGATAAAATAATAATTAAGCACGGACCGTAACTCGTAAGCCAAAACAGTACGATACGTATAATAATATGTGGCCCTCATCCTGGCCAGACAGAATAAAATATAGGTATAGCTATACCGTCGTTTGAGCAGTAAGCTCGTAAAAACTATAATAATAATAATATGTATAAAAACTCTCAAGCTTGCTACTTGTGCCTGTTTAAATAATTTGACACAAAAACAAATATAATAATATAATATATGGCGATTCGCGCCCTTCACACAGGGCCGGACTGGGTCAAAAATGTCTACCGGGATACTAAAAAATCGGCCCACTAAGGTCTAACCTATAAAAACCAAAAAAAACATATGTTTTCATATACAACGATTGTATATTATTTTGAGAATTTGAACACTTAATATTATTATTAAAATTAAAAAAATTAAAAATTTGTTAGTACCTACAAATAAATGTTATAATTTTTATTTATAATACATAATATGTTTAGACTCCAGAAATCAGAATACACATTAATACATATTAAGCAATTTGTTAATGTATGGAGCTCCTTTGCAAATTGTGTCCACCGAGCACATTATTATACCTTACTTCAGCCACTACGGTGGCATCGGAATATTCGGGAGTTTGTGTGATGATAATTGTCGCAAATTTTGGGCGGCTCAGACTTGGATTTCGATAAGGTAGGGATTACCGATTAACGAAGACAATAATATGACACAACATACAAGCATCGTTTTTTGACAATTTATAGATTTTTTCATATCTATTTTGAGGAATTTCCTTAATTCTAAATAGTTGACTAATACAATCGCGTTGAAAAATGCGTCCGTCTGTCGACAGGTTAAGCCTCAACCGATAAACCTAAAAATAAACGTCCCAAAAGGTACGCACACATTGCTGCGGTAGACGGTACGGTAACGGTAGCGATAAAATTGAGCTCATAGTTTTATATGAGGCAAACCACATTGGTACGATATTATCGGATCGGTGAACGGTAGGCGCGCCGATAATCTTTGTGCGGTAAAGTTTAAAACTAAACGAATGTAATTAAATGTAGATGCGCACATTGCTGCGATAAATCGTCGGTACGGTAAAAAATATCGTATCGTGCTCCGATATTTTTTTAACGTTGCATGCACGATAATTACCGTCTACCGGGCCGATAAATATTAATAACAATAATGTTTATCTATTTTGTAATAATTATGACATACATAATATGAAGCTGTTTAGCTGTTTAGTTGTACAACTATATTACCATTATGGCATTAAGTGCTATATGTTATACGTACTACCTTAAGGTAATATAATTATATTATTAATATTTAAATTAAGTATTAAAACTACAGTAGGTATATAATAATAATTAATATTAATAATAAGTTTTTTATCAAAAATATACTCCTATACTCCCATTCTGCAAATGTGGGCAAAAATTACCTTTAGTTAGTAAGTTAAGTCAAGTCAACATTTAGAAAGTTATAATTTAAGATTTAATAAACATTATACTTCACTCTTAAGTTTAAAGTTAACACCTGAAAAAATATGAACTCAACTCAGTTATATAATTACTTTTTAATTTAGCTTTAAGTAAAAGCATTTTGATTAACGTATAGTACGTATATTATTAATTTATTATAATTTTTTGATGTAGAGTTTCTTTATAATTAATAATAAGAAAATTAAGACATTAGGTACACATATATTAAGACTTGTATTATAGGCTCATTTACAGAGAAATTATCGTCTTGTGGGAAGGGAAGGGTTTATAACAAAAATATTCATATTAATTTTACATAGCTGTCGGAAAAAAAATATTTTTGAAAATAAATTGAGAGGGTATAAACCTCAAAATTTCTTATATGTGTGTCAGATATATCGTACCGCATTACCGCAGCAGTGTGTGCGCACCTTTACTCCTATAGTTTATATTTTATAAATATTTTTAACTTATAAATGCTATTTTATAGTTGAATAAATTAAACTATATTTATTAGTATTTACGTATTTTTATAAGTTTTAAAATTACCGCCAAAATCTGGGTATTTAAATGACGAAGGAGATTATAGTTAGTATGGGATCTATATGTCTATGAGGTTCTAAATGTCCAAGGGGATCCAGTTGACGTACGGGGATCTACTTGTCGCGGGATCTAGGTGGTACGTCCGTGATAATCATATTGATAAATGATAAGTAATATCATATAATATGCCATGATTAGGCCACCTTCAGAGTTCAGATAAGGATATCGTAGACGTAGAAAGGAAAACAATAATTTCAGTATATTGTGTAAGGCAGAAGGCTGTAAGCTACGTCGCTACTACAAAATATACACCAAAAATAAACTAAGTTGTTATAAAAATCAACGAACAATTAAACGATTGAGATTAATTATGAAAAGTCAAATATCAATCAACATGCTAAAAAAATCTGTTTATTTTTATAGATATTCCTTGATGGTTAGTATGCTGATTTAATTGATAATTCACATTTTAAGAATACAAAAACATTTAACTAAATGTTTAGAATAAAAACAAATATTTATTTTATATTTACAGAGAAATTCTCCTTTAACGGGTATCAAGAACCGCTGTTATGCCCAGACTGCTGATACTAAAATATCTTCAGATTCTGAAATAGATTTGATGAGAAGCCGCCTCATTTATCAATCTAGAAAAAGGGGAATATTAGAGAATTGTATAATTTTTACTACGTTTGCAGACAAATATTTAAAAACATTCAATTGTGAACAGTTACAAAAGTATGATGCATTGATTAACAGTAAATTTGACGAATGGGACTTATATGCTTGGTCTATTGGGTCTAAACCAGCTCCACAAGAATTTGACAATGACATATTGAAGCTATTGAAAAACCATGTACAAAAAAGATCATAATTTAAGTAGTATAAATATTATATATTAATATTATTGTCTAATCATTTGATAGTATTCATATTGTGATAGGATATTTTGTTGCATTAGAAACAAGTAAATAATAAGTTATGCCTATGGTTTTGATTAATATCTAGTAATTAAATTATAAATTACATTGTTTTTTCCTTGAGCGATTACCAGATAGCATACTATATCAAAAAAAACTATATAATGTAATATTGTAATGTACCTTTGTCCTATACTTATTATTTACTACAAGTATTAATAATTTGTCTTGAAGGTTGACAATGCTATCAACAAAAATGTATATTTTTTTTATCATATTCCTAGACTGTTCTTTAAAATGTGTTATTATAATTAATTTTGTTAACCAAATAATTGTTTCAGTACATTGTGTTTTAGATCTTAAAATCTTATTACTCATTTTTTTCTGAATTGACACTATTTTCCTGCAATCCTGTGTACTGAACTGCTGAATACTGTGGAGGTAATAACTTCATAAATACCATTATACTATTTGGCATCCATAGGCGTGCGCACTTCGGTTCCAGGTGTGCCTGACACCCCTGGCATTTTGTAATTAGGGCCCTAAATTTAAGCCCCAGAGCTTAGGAGCCCTGTATTTTAACATATTATTTTACTAAAATAAAATGTATTTTTTTTATATGTGATAAATTAATAATATATCATGTTTCATGATAAAAAAAAAAAAAAAAAAGTGGGCAAGTGGGTGTCGCTCTGCTGTACAGTAGGTTACAAGTGGGTCACTGTATAATGGATGATATTAAATTTGAATTCAACGATATAATATCATTGTATAAGAAAAACGATTCTGAGCGGAGACAGTATGTCTGTCTAGGTATAAGACATATTATATATATTATATTATATTATATATTATATATATATATTACATATTATATTATATATTATATACAAATTATACATTATACATGGTACTAAACCAAAAATAGGTAGGTACCTATAATAAATTCCAAAATTAATCATATCAAAATAGCCATTAGGTAGGTACTTATAACACGTTATACATCAACAAAAACCGTGATACTATCATAGATATATAATAGTACACTTTAGAAGTTTCAAGTATCCACGAATAATATTATTCAATCACAACAAAATAACTAAAATAGTTATTCTAGGTTTTTTAATATGTAATTTCGTCCAAATTTGAATTTAAAATGTCTGTAAAAAATAACTGTGTTCATATATTTTTTAGATTTTTTGGTTACAGTATGAACTATTTACGAGAACCTTTGTGTTGAATTTGCAATCCTTAGCTATAAAAACTGAACATTTTATAATTTATTAATTACAATGATTGATAATTTTCGAGATTTTGATAAATTTTGTCAAAATTTGATCTTTAAATGCTTATAAAAAAAAACTGTGCCTATGTATTTTTAATATTTTTCAACTGATATTGAAACAATATATCAGGAGCCTTGTATTAAATTTTTACACTTTTTGGCCAAACAGATAAAACTTTATTGATATTTATAGAAAAAAAACTAAAAAAAATTGAAAGCTGTAAATGTCCATAAACAGCTCAAAAAGAGTCAAAATATTTTCAAAATTGTATGGTGTATAGGAAATGCTAATATAAACATTCAGTGAAATTTTCATGTATCTACAGTTATTCGTTTTTGAATTACAACAAAATAAGGAAATCGCTACATGAGAAATCGAGTGAACATCCAATGTTGTAAAAATTTGAATTTCAAACGCTCATAAAAATTTAAATTGACATTCCGGTAGAGATTTTTTTATTGATAAAGGTAGACAAACTTATGAGTAATCTTGTATTACATTTTCAAATCTTAGATTTAAAAAAAAAAATTTTTTCGAATTCTTAACTCAAACGCTAATTTTCGTGATATTTCCATATTTTTACAATTTTTGAACTTTAAATGCTTATAAAAAAAAATTGTGACTAAGGATTTTTAATATTTTTCATCTGCCTTTGAAACAATATATTAGGAGCCTTCTATTAAATTTTCAAGCTTTCGCAACCAACAAATAAAATTTTATTGATATTTTTAGAAAAAAAACTAAAAAAAATGGAAAATGAAAATGTCCCTAAACAGTTCAAAATAAATCAAAATATTTTGAAAATGTTATCGTGTATAGAAAATGCAAATATAAACAACCAGTGAAAATTCCATGTATATACGTTCATTTGTTTTAGAGTTACACCAAAAACCAAAATCGATTTTTGGAAAACCGATTTTGCGTAAAAATTCCCGTTTTCCCTTAATTTTTATGTTGTTTTTCCCGGCGCTTGTGAAAACTACTGGGAAATGTTTACTTTTGACCCCCCAAAGTTCCAACTAGATTCACTTTCCTATCAGAAAAGGTACTATTGAAGAAAATCTAAGCACTTTAACTGTCCCAAAACGTGATGACAGACACAAAAAAAAATATAAAAATATAAAAATATAAAAAAAACACACATCATTGTAAAACCAATACATTCATCGCTCCGCTCAGAATCTAAAAACGCAAAAGATTTTTAATTTGTGTGGAGTAACTTATTATCTAATTAACAGCTATATAGATGTTATTGTCTAAAAAAGTACAAATAATAAATAAACATTGCAATTTTCTTAGAAATAGATATTTGATCCAAGGGTATATAGAACTTGGTACTAGTAATTATATACCACTGATTAAATATGTATATTAGAGAGTGCCCAAAAATATTGTAGGCTAGCCCCCCCGAAATCCAGGTCTGTGCTTTCTTATGCTCATCCATACCTCAAAGATATCTTTAGTTTGGGTAATTCACTATAGTTTGAATTCATATGATTTGTTCCCAGATGGCTGGTTCCAAAATAACTTAAATAGGTAACCAATACACATTTAACGGGTAACGAAGTACACGGGATCAGCTAGTTATCAATACATATTAAATATAATTTCCCGCTTAAATAGTTTAAATTTCAAAATGTTTACATAATCTCAATACAATTTCAACGTCTATAAGTGTTCTATTCACAATGTTGGTCACAGTGTTCTAAAGGTGATTTGATAAAAAAAAAATCCACAACTGATTAAAGAAAAGAATTACATTTTTTCGTCAACTTCAGTACTCACTTTTTGCCTTTTTTATAGTTTCTATAAAAACAATTGATTTTTTTTGGACGTCAAATTAGGAAATTTGAAATGCCTGTCCACGGTTCTCCTTACAAAACTATAACCGATCCCGAATTAATTCGAAAAAAAAATGAATTACGAAAGGCTATCTCTCTAGAATATATAAAGCATACATCAAATCCATACCGAAACATAAAAATGGAAGGTGGAACCCTGGTATGTATCCATACAATATTTCTTAAATTGTTATTAATATAGTATAATTCTTTGTTTCTAGTTTGATGTCGGTATTCAAAGATATATGTCTCTGAAAGCAACGCAACATGAATTTTTCAGGCCTACACCAAAGACTTCACTTTTAGGTGTACTAATGATAGTATTACCATATTTTAGTCTGACTTATTTCATCAAGAAAGAACGTGTATGTATTAATTTAAATTTTTAATTATTATTAATTTTAATAAAAACATTAAAAAAAACTATTTTCCATAAAAGGACCGTCGAGAAAATTTAATTCGTACCGGAGAAGTAGCTTACAAGGACAGAGGATTCAAATTCGCCTAACAAGATTTACATTTATATGAACATTTATAGTGTTATTTTGGTCACATTACCGTTGTTGTATAGATTTATTAAAATAGAAATGCCTGAAATAAATAATTAACACAAAAATTGGATTTCAACTTCTATTATATATTTTTTTTAATGTCTGTAATGATAATAATGTTAGAAACAGTTCTTCAATAATTTGAGTTCAATAAAATATATAGAAAAATAACTATAGTAATAATTATTTTAAACATTTTATTAATTTATTTATTTATTAAATGAATTATAAATAAAATGAAATGATTCATTTAGCAGTTTTTTGTTTAACAACAAGTATGAAAATTAATTGTAAAAATAATTCCTTCTACTGAATAGTTGGGTTTGAGTGTACCTTGATGCTCTACAGTTGAGTAGGTCACTATAATTTATGATGTGTTAAATTTCAATTAATATTGTAGTAATATTTAGTCAATTCACACGACATAAATATTTGAGCTATATGTGACTGTGTGAGTAGTAAATTAACATTAGTGTGTTTCCGAGAATCTCTGTAATGTAGCGTGCGTCGGGCAACCACCACCGGATGCAACTCTCGCACCCTCACACACATGTTAATACTTCGCGAAAAATGAAAATATTCTTGTTTGCATAATTAAAAACTACTAAAAGTGGCAGTAAATAAAATATACTTCTTGAAGTTTGATTGTAATTTCGAAAAAAATGGTTGAATTTATAATCTTCTAGACTAGGCTCTTTAGGAATCTCTTTTTGATTTGGAATCAGATGTGCCCAAAAAAATACAAATGTAAAGCAATTATTTCACGAGATTTTTGAAGAAAAAAATCAACATTAATTTGAAGACATAATATTAAATATAGTGAATTTCGTTGGAATAGTTGTTGAATATTGAAAACTCTAAAATCTTTTAATGAGTTTATAGAAGGGAATTTGTTTAAAATTATTTTTAATACCTATACTTTTTTGGGCTGTTATTAGTTTATTACATGCTAATATCTCTAAACCACCCTAAGCTGTTATTCCATATTGTAGTATTGACTTTGTCATGGCAAAGTAAAGTTTGTATGTTCAGTGTTTTTCTAGCATTCATATAGAAATATAGTGTCCTTATTTTGATTATTAAGTTATTTACATAAACATCCCATTTTAAGTGTTCGTGTTGGTCAATGGTGGCACCAAGGTATTTGATATTATGTTCTGTTTATCTAATCTCCTAACATGTGTAATTATTGTTTAAATGAAAGTTTTTTTTTATGGATTTTTAACGCATTTATATTAGGTTGTATTATTTTGTCTTGGGAAAAACCTATGAACTTAGTTCTGCTAGGGTTCAAGCTTAAGTTTTTTTTAGAAACCACTCACTTAATAATAATAATCTTTATTGCAACAATATAATATACAGTGTGTTCATGCTAAAAGGTACCACTGAATATCTCAGATGAGTGACATTGTATTGAAATGGGGTTTTCAGGAGATGATAGGGAGCACTTAAATACATATTTTCAGACCAATTTCAAATTTTTAGCTCACTCATGAGCAATACGACTTATTTTTTTTTTAATGGCAACCCCAGTTTTTTCTATGCAGATTTGGGTAGAGTATTTTTTTTAAACATTTGTTGTATAAAAAGGTTTTTTCTATTTTCAAAACTGACCAAGTTAGACTGTAAGAGTAAGTCAAAAATTGGATTTATGCGTAATATGTCCATGTTTAATGGAATTTTCATTTATAACCACTGGGAATAATAAAATAAGTGCCAAATAAATATTTAATGGGGGGCGGAGTGGCCGAGCGGACCAAGGCGTCGGTTACGACGCTCATCGTCGCCGGTTTGAACTCGGCCACGGATGGCATATTTCTTCCGGCAGTCACGGTGTCCGGAGAGAGAGAGGCGGTCATCCCCCACCCGGGCATGGCAGATCTCTACGTGTGTTTGTTTTGGCAGAATTTTTAAGTGGGCACCCGTAGATATCTATAGAAAAAAAAACTAAAATTAATGGAAATCGCAAACTGAAAATGTCCGTAAACAGCTCAAAATAAATAAAAATATTTGGAAAACGTTATGGTGTATAGAAAATGCTAATATAAACATTCAGTCAACATTTCATGTACCTAAGGACTAAGGTAATTTGTTAAAGAGTTGCACCAAAAACCAAAATCGATGTTTTCGAAAACAGATTTTGCGTAATAATTTCAGTTTTTCCTTAATTTTTTTTTGTTTTTTCAGGTCGGTTCTGAAAACTACTGAGAAATTTTTACTTTTGACCCCCCAAAGTACCAACTAGATTCACTTTCCTATCAGAAAAGATACTGTTGAAGAAAATGTTTATTCTTGTCTTCAATATTTGAGTAGGTATATAGATCTAGAAAATTGTGCTAGAGCTTCTTCTCTCCCAATGTTCTCTCTAAAACCATACTGGGATTATGAAAGGATTGAGTTTTTTTTTAGATATCTTAAAAGGTGATGTTTTATGGCCCTTTCGAAAAGTTTAGAGAACGCATTTAGTACAGATATGGCCTATAGTTTGATAGACAGATCTAATTGACTGCCTCGTTTTGTGTATAACAGTAACTAGACCTATTTTAAAAGATTCTGGTATGGTATACTGTTTTTGACAAAATATTGTTAAAAATACATGCTAAGTGAGATATAGTGGCTGGCTATAGATATTATATAGGTACTAATAAATTATGATACAAATGCCAGTCACGTGTTATAAGTGGTGGTCAACGAGTAGAACTAGGGGCATGGGGCAGTAGAGGGCTCGCCAATAATGATGTAATTTGAGTTTTCAAAATATCTCCTGTAACAACACATTTGTTTTGTTTGGTTACCAATTAGTTTTTTTTTAATTGTTGATTCCAAAATGATTGAAGACCAAGAATATGTTTTACAGAATGTATATTATCAAGCAACCCCATCCCCACACTGCATTACATAAAAGACACATTGTTATGTTCTTGTTCACAGTAATTGACCAACACAAAAAGGACATAGGTAATTCAGTACGGAACTATTAATAATTACTCAATACAATCCAAATAATCCAAATGAGTAAATACAATATTATTGTAACATTGTAAATGTTATATTGTAACATTACAAAATGTAATTTAAACTTAGATTTCGAAAGAAATTTGCTTTCTAAAACTAGGTGTTTTTATCATTCATGTAATCTTACATTGCACCTATCTTATAAAACAGTGGTTGCCATATTAATTTTTTGCAATTTTTCTTAGGGATGATAATATATTACCCAGTTCTAGAGAGTGGACAATTCCAAGTATTATATGTGACACTCAAGTATTTAATAGAATTATTAAACTGGAAATTATTGCTGAAACAGATTATAATGATGATTAATAATAATCAATAATTACAAACCACGCAAAAATTATTTTTTACATTTTTAATAAATAAATAAATAAATAATTATTTTATTTAAAAAAAAATTGTACAACATTTTCAAATGTACTTATAAATACTAACATAACGTAACCGGAAAAACGGAATAATGGTTGTGAATTAAGCCACCGGTACGGTTTTAGGGAAATGTTGGGTCGAAAACATTCACAGATTTGTGTATACCTAGTTAGTAGTCAGTTGTCACTCATAACTCATAAGTGAATGGCATAAATGATGTGGCTTTTATACATTTATAATATATTATTAAATTAAAACGTATTATAAATAAACCTTTGGTTATATTTTATAAGCTAATTTCATTTTTACAATATTTTTACATTTAAAATAAATACAAAAATAAATTAGTTTCATATTATACATATTATACAAAAAAAAAAAAATTAAATAAATAAAATCCAAAAATAAGGTACAAAAATTATTTTAGAATATTGTCTACAAGCATTTTGTACTGTAAATTGAATTACGTTTGCATAATATCATCATACACTATTCATATTATTACTATACATAAAAGTAACGTATACCTATATGAATTGTGTGATTTCAAAATAATCATTTCATTAAGAATGATATTTTTATGTATTATCTAGGATTAATTATTAATGTACATCAGTCAACTGATCAATATCGTTTTAAAAATCATAGCACAATTATTGTACATTTAAATTTTCGTACATTTAAATTAATTGTATAAAATATCATGCGAGGAATGTATACAAATATTAGTAATCTATATGTATTCTTAATCAACAGATGATGCAATAAAAACGATTAGGAACAATTTGTACATATATAATATAATATATTTTATATATATATATTGAAAACAGAAAAAAAAATAGTGTAAATAGTATATTTTTTGTTGTCATAATAATAAATCGTAAATTGTTGTTTTTGTTGATAGTATCATTAACTTATTTTTTAAAACAAAATAAATAATGCAATTTCTATTAAGTTGACTAGAATTATTTAAATCTTAACAAAATACAATTTGAACCGAGCATCGTGTTGCAATTACAATGTACTAGGGGGTACACAATTAAATCGGATCAGTATTTTTTCTAAGGTGTAGGTATGGTGAAGGACTTTCTTCATTCACTTAACTTAACAACTACACATTATATAATAATTAAACCATATAAAACAATTTTAGTTAAAAAAACATAAAAAGTCGAGTTATTCAACAATAAGTCTTAATTAAGACTAAACTCATTATTCATCAGTCTTTTAAGCTTACAAAGAGAGCTACCCAATCACATAACTAACTTTGGAAGTCAAATTATAATTGTCATTATAAAAATATCTAAAATATACAATGAATTGAGCGTTTTAACTAACAAAAATAATTAATCAATTTGTTAAAATTAAAATAAAAAAACAATACAAATTGCACTATTATATCAGTACCGAGTATTATGATGGCGTTTATGCCTTTTTGGTTGACGATTGTTGTGATGATGTTTGGATGACGATGTATGCACACATGGTTGTGCGGCTGCGCTCATCATATTACCGTCGAGCTCAAGTTCAAATTTGGCTGTTACTATGCACCTGGTTGGCGCGGAAGTCTGAGTCGATCCTGTAGGTACAGATTGAGTTCGTTGTGGTGCATCAATTTCGGATCCACTGTCTGTACTATAGTCTGATTGGCTTGATAGAGATGGTGATATTGATAATGACTGCTAAACAATAATATGAAATAAATATTTATTAGTTCTCAATTTATGATTGATGATTTTATTAAAGAAAATATTGTCTTTACTTCCACAAAATATATAAAAAATAGACAGGCACAAAAACAGAAAATTATTTTGAGAGTTATAAATTACAAATTAAAAATTATGGTATAAAATTGAAAATATTTTTTGTTTACATTTATAGAGGGGGATTGAACTTGAGTATAGATAGTAAATTTAAAAAAATGTAATGCAATGTATATCGTCCCCGTTCATGCAAAACACACCAAGTCCAAAAACATGATTTTTGAGTATGAGCTTTTGCAATTTTTCTAATCTATAATTCCATATTCTGCGTATTAAGGAAAACATCGAATGGACTTAGTTAACATTTTGAATTGTATATTAAACATCTTTAAATAATATTGGGACTTAGTTGAATACAGCATATTGTAGATATTTTTAAACTGAATTTTATTTGACAATAAACCGGAAAACCCGATTTTTGGACTTAGTGTGTTTTGCATGAACGGGGACGATATATTCTTTAGAGTTTAATGACTTGCAATCGCGTCTAATATTATAATTTATAAATTATAAGCAATGCCAAAATTATATTTTTCTCGGTAAATGTAAAATATTGTTTGTCAATACATAATATTACATATAATATCACAGGTCACAGGAGAATGTTTTTATAATTATATTTATTATATCATTTATTTTTTAGGAACTTTCATTTTATTTAGGAATTTTTCAAATAATACAAGCCTCCAGCTTAAATTTAAGAGTTCAAAAATTACAGAATTTCAGACTGAAAAGGTACACCAAGCATTCTTGAGTACAACTATCAGGAAGGGAAGAACAATTTTTGATACTTAAGATTTTTAAATTTTAATATATAATTAATGTCGGATTATTATGAATCTACTGAACTTACTTGTGACTTGGTTGTTTCCACATGAGGTATAGATGCAGAATGATAGGAACCAGATTCTTCAGCAATGGTGGATAATGATCCATCTCTAGGAACATAGTGTAGTCCACCATGTGATCGAGACAAACCATTATTTCCCTGGTGTTGTTGGTGATGATGTCTGTGACGATTCTGCTGTTGATGATGATGAGTTCGATTGGATGGTGGTGGAGGTACCGATTGCCTAATGCTGGTATAACGAGCACGCCTTCTAATTGGTTCTGGTGATGGTGTGCTTATGCGGTCAGTATACTTCAACGGCGTTATCTGTGTAAAATATTTGAATAATTAATAATTATTAAAATGTCTTATTATTATTTAAGTAAACAAACCTCTGGCGGTGGTCCATATATAGACAAGAATACTGGTAAACACACGAGGCCATTAAACAACCCAAACACTGTATTAGAAATTAATATGAGAAAGTATGACCTGCAATTAAATATTAAAATATTAAAAATTATTTATTAGCAATAAAAATAATTCACATTTTACCTTGATACATAGTTATTTTGGAAAACAAGCATTATGACAGCGATAAATAATGTAACTCCAGATTGAAGGATTATTTTAGACATATGATCTACAGATAGATGTATTCGTCTTTTTTTATCACCTATACATGTGACAAAACTCTGTTGGATAAAAAAAAAACATGATTAATAATAAAACTTATTGTTACTAAACTTATTTTGTTGAACTTACCAAACAAAGGTGTATTGTGAACGTTGCTCCAGTACCTACAGTACCAATTACTAACACAACGGGTATGGCGCTAAATTTTATGTAAGCAAAACCCATAAAACCCAAAACTTGAATGACTTGTGTTGCAGACATAAATAATGTTATAAAGGCGGCTCGGATATTGCATAGGAACAAACCGCAGATTAAAAACAAAAAAAAAAATGCAAATGACATGGAAAAACATAAATACTGATTGAGTTCTTGATATTGTTCCCAGTAAACAAAAGGGATGCCTGATGGATAGTTGGGCAGTCCACGCTCGTCAAAATTTTTGCATATGCCACGTACTGTAGATATGAATTTTGTTATTATAGATGTTTCATACAAATAACTAGCATAGAATGGCATTTGAGCATAAATTATTGGCGATGATTTTACGATCTGTAAATCGTAATCGTTGACTACGTGCGTCCAACGACGAGGTTCTGGTCGGATGTTGGCTTGAGATGCACCATATGCTAGTATATCATTAGATACCCATGCAGTCAATAGGTTATAAAATGTTTCTTCATTAATGATGCCATTCTCATTGACCAGCCTAGCATTCATTACCAATGATTTATCAATCGGATTATCACTGTTGCCAGTTTGCACAAGTAACTTATAACCGAGAATACCATTTTCAGATGCACATGTCGCCCATCCTTCTTGATCAATGCATTTCTTTGCCCAGTCTTTATCAAATGCTTTTTGTAATCCTATAGAATAAATTATATTAAATATAACATTCTTACACGTTGAGATAAAATCACTAATAGTATAAATTACCTAACAGCCATTCTTTGAATAATGTAAGCCACATCTGAGGTAAACCACCATTATCATTTTTTAATATGTTAGGAACCCGCATGAACGCATCGTGATATTCATACAATAACCTTTGATTAGTTGGATACTCAAAATCACCTCGTGTCACTGCATGCATGTTATAAAATCCAAACATCTGACCATATGTTCCAAGAAACTTTTGCTCATTAGTACCATCGGGAACCATTTCGGGCAATGTCAGTCCCGCTTGAATTCTGGTAATTCCCCATACACTAATTCCCAACACCGCAATAAATAATAAGATGACGCGTATACGACATGCCCCAGTTGTCAAATACTGAACATATTTTAGAGCAATGTCTTTAGGCTTCCAGTTACAAAAATATGTTTGTTTTCTCATTGGAGTGTCTTCACAATCTGAATTTGGGTCTTTAAATTCTTTCTGATGAAAAATAGAAAAAAAATCACAGAATAATAATTAATAAATATAATTAAATATAAACACAGTTAAGTACTTTAGTAACTAACCAGTAATAAATTTGAAGATGCTGGAGTTGGCGAATCTGATTTTTCAGTAAATTGACGCATTTGTCCATCAATTGTGCTCGCTGTTCCAAGAGAATTATTATTATTGTTGAAACATGGCCATCGTAAGTCTTCAGATGGAAAACAACAAAATATATCAATCCTTGCACTTCTTCTTCTGCGCACATCAAAGCTTATAAGAGAAGTAACACCTAAAAGTGTAGTAACCAAAACAAACATTGCCAATATAGCAACCTGCAAGCAAAATGCTCGCAATGCAGGAATTGGCACAACAGCAGCAGTAATAAAAATTGCTATGGTGATGAAAGATGTCATAAGTATATTTGTTCCTGTAGATTTCAACACCATTCCTACTTGTTTTTTACCCAAGTGACAAGTGTATTTTTGAGTCTAAATAAAATCAAACATATTAGAAAAATATTTTTTATTTACTTTTAAAAGTAAATAACTTACAGCTTGATCAAATCCATGACTTGACACTCGGTCATAACTGAACATCAACAAAAACATATTGTTTACTCCTAATGCCGTTGCAATTGAAATAACAACCTATAAGTTATAAGTTAATATATATTATGTATAATTCTATAAAATGTACATACTATACATAAATACTATAAATAAAAAAAATAATCTTAGACTTACAGCTATAGTAGCAGAATGTATTTGAATTCCAATAAGACAACAAAAAGCAATACCAGATGCAATCGAAAACATTATTAATAGGAGACTAGACATTCCAATGATTGCTTGAGACCTGACAGGGTCGAATAAATTTATTTGCATAAACGAAACATAAAGTAGCTAAAAAAATGCATCTCATTAAAATTTTTCTCGTTTCTTTAAAAATTATTAGAAAATTACCATTAATGCACATCCAATATAAATAAATTTAGGGTCCAAAAAACTGAATTGGTTAAGTAAGTCTTTTAGTAACATTGTTGAAAATGTATGAAAATCGTATGGAACCATTGCTGCGGTTTTAAGCACTCTTCTAACTTCCTACAATCATAAAACATATTTACAATCGGTTAAAAATGTAACAACAATTATATAATACTAGTTGATAGTTATAATATAATATGCTAACCTCATTAAATTTCTTTTGCCACATTTTGAGGACCAACGCGGCCTTCTCTTGGTCCCATGAAAAATGCAATACTTTGTAGCTTTGTAACCAAAATTCATACAACTCCTTTTCACCCATTAGTTGAAACACTGACTGCAATGCTTCGGCACTAAAATATTTTATTTGTATTAAAAAAACGTAAATAATAAAACAATAAAATAAATATGCCCAGCACAATAAAAATTACTTTTGGATATATCCTGTTTTATTTTGAGTAATACCACCCAACAGTAACTCTTTAGGCCAGTGCATATATTTACTAGCAAATCCATGACAACCATTGGCCAATTCTGCTCCAATGTCAGGGATCTGTAAAAGTGTAAATTTGTTATTATTTTAAAATACAATCTATTAAATTAAAAATATAATTATAATATTTTAATATTTACCCCTACAATAATACAACACTGTTTAGGACTTTTGTTTCCTACTTGGGAAAATAATATAGTTATCATTTACAACAAGGATGTGGGTACAGGAAATGTGGGCGTTGATCTTGTCCCCTTTCGTAATACACGCCTTGTTAGAATAATACTGTTCTAATTATATTACAAGCTTGATGAATATGAGTACCGATTTAATTTTTTTTTGAGAGATGCTGGTACGTATAGACTAACTAGATACTCTCTAGTACAGTTATCTAATGCGGTTGGATAAATTAACAGTACCTCAGTAACACAATATACCTAAGCTAAGTATAATATTATATAATACTAAATACACAGTATAATGCCACGACGGTGCACCTTGAAATGAGGAGAATATAATCTGTTTAAGATTAAAATCGAATTTTGATGATTAATAAATTATGATTTTAATTTCATACCAATGTTGTGAAAAAAAAATAATAAAACTTACAGTGAAAAGTTATATGTACTTACGTAATATTTGTTATTGAACGAAAATTGTACTACAAAATATAACTTGATGGGAATCTTTTTTTTAACATGTACGATATAAATACATATTAAATTATAATATAGAGAAGGGCGAGTGTAAAATTATTTACCTAGAATTTGAAATGATAAAAGACTTAAATAACAGACGAAACCAAAAAGGCGAACAAAAAGACTACCGATATTTTTTCAAACAGTAACAATTGCAAAATGTATCACATTATGGTTAACCACGGTAGTACCTATAGTGATTGCAATATTTGAATGCGTGTATCCAACGATGATGCATTATTATTGAAATTGGACATTGGCGTGTAACTCAATCTTTTAACTTACAATGGGAAATATTGCTTTGTGATGTTCCCCATTCATATGAGGTCTTATCCAAGAATATAATATATTATGGTGTAATATATAGGCTCTCCAAGAATGTGACTTAAGCAGCAGGTGAACGCGAGGACGATTTTTGATTTTTTCTGCACGCAATGATCGGGAGGGGGAGGGAAGCCGTTAAATTATGATCAGGTAAAGTCATGAGCTAGTGTTACGGCTGGGGATCGGCATTCTAAGAACATATATTATCAAAAAATATAAAGACGCAAGGATGAAGCTGTTCAGTGTTGTTCGGGTTTCAATGCACTAACTCACACTCACACACACACACACGATACACTCTCTGAAAGAGATGGGGACCTCCCATGAAGTAAACCGGCGCTGAGTTGCCATTTACACAGCACACAAATGCCAAAAATAAAATATAAAATATTATTGAGATTTATTATTGCGATTCCGAGTGCAATGTGAATGTGTCGTGGAGAAAAAAATTGTGTTTTTAACAAATTAGCCCACCAACATTGAGACCACCTCAAACAGCGTGTAGGCTATACGTCCAAAATCTATCCATATAATACTACTTAGCACATTAAATCATTTAATTACCAAATTCCGATGTTAATATTCTATTTTTTTTTTTTTTCAAATCAACAAATATTTATATTCAGTTAGTAGTATTGTAGGAATTGTATGCTTGTACGTGTTAGAATACGCCATCGAGTACTCTTTGATATTTACCTACTATTTTCTTTGGTTTTAGCACAGAATACTTTAATTTATTATGTAGGTAAGACATGTGAAAAGAATGCTGTAATAAAAATCAAAAGTAAGGTGATATCGGTGTTTTTTTATGCGAAGGAATGCTTGGGTGCTGTGCAGTGTGTATTGTGTATAGCCCAAGGCCTATTACCTTATAACCATAATGAAGGCATCACCGACCAAGAATGATAGCTCCAGAGTTGCGTGTGTGGTCCTCGAGTTCACTGGTATACCGACTTCAATTACCCCGAGCACCGATGAAAAAGAAAGTAGAGGGGAGAACGAGTGAGCGAGTGAGTCTGGTTGTGTGTGTGTGTGTGTGTGTTTGGCTATGACAAGACATGAATAGGCTCCGGCGAACACAATGCCTCCCAAGAGGTCTTTGTTATGCAAATAAGTTATATATTATGTTGTCTGGGGGGCCTAAATGTTACATATTGGCTAGATTCCCTACCTAATACACGACTAACGATCAACAAGAAGAAGGAAGACAAATAACACGCAATTAACAAATCTATAGATGTTTCGAGCAAGTGAAGTGCACTAACTTTTCCTTTTAAAAATGTGTTTGACCCAGAAAATTAAATCTGATAAGAAAGAATTCCCGTTTATTTTTCTACGATACAAATAAATAAATAAATACGATGTATAAATGAGCGATGAGCCCCAAGCACTTTTTGTTATCAGTGTTTATACTTTATTATACCACGCTTATTTCCTATTTACGGCTATAAATATTTGTAGGCTGTGATTTAAATGCATTTATTTTTTAATTAATTAATCAAAATATTTACCTAACATTGCTTGTAAGTACAAAAGTATTTGAAAAATACAGTAATCAATCAATATACTTAAATGACAATTTTTAGCCTTTAATTTAAAATTATTTGCACGTGAAATATAATGCAGATTACATGCCAAATTTCCAATAGGTACACCTAACACTTGTACTAGTCCAACAGGTTGATTTAACGATATAATTGTATATTAATAGTTACAAGGTTGGGTACCAAGGTAATTTTATGCCTAACATTTTACTACATTTACTTCGAGAGGTATTTGCTATTAAATAGTTGAAAAACTCACTTTTTTTGATTTCTTGTTCGGTGCTGTTTCTGGACAGTCGGGATCTTCCGGATCTAAGCATGGTTTATCTTGGTAACCCGAATTGATTCCTGCCTAAAGTTAAATTATTAACGTCGATACAAAAAAATATTTTACACTATAAATATTCTATATAATTATATCACTACTTTTACTTACTCGTTTCATGTAGGTTTCTAACATATCAAATGGAAAATTTGTGTCTCCCATGGCTCTAATAGATTTCATTAAACTTTGAGGATTTAAATTAGTCCATTTAATACCATTTCCAACACCACTAATTATAATAAAAATCATATGTTAAGTATAATAATACATTGATTGTTAGAAGTAAATTCAAACTTGCTACTTACGGGACTGTTATAGGATTTTCTGGACCCAAAAGTTTGGAACCTTCCCAAAAACAATCTAAAGGAGTAATTATTTCACAAGGCATCATATTTTCAAATATCTAGAAAAATTTAAAACTTGTTAGTAAATTAATTTTTTAATAATGGAAAAAAAAAATTACAGTATCTATATAGTGGACTTCAAAATCTGGTGGGCTCGGTGACAAACATATGTCTTTGAGACTCCATGTCCTGTTTAATAAGAAAGAAGACAATTATTATTTGTAAAATAATCAATAGAAATGAGATCAGGTGCCTTACACGTCATAAAGATTGACCGTGACATGAGAAGCGGCTTTAAGGAGCTGCAGGTGGGCGAGTAACGCTTTTCTATGAAGAAGCCGCTGTTGAGGCACTTCCGGAGAAGTAGCCTCTTTGGCTGTCTGTGTGACCAACAAATGTATGACGCTTTCCGTTTCGCCAAGCGCCGATTCTGAGTAACGCAATTCCGTTTCCAGACGGCCTCCCGCTATATAAATTCACAATTATTTTGAGTACACCTTACGTATGACAAATAATTAGAATAACTTACACTCAACCCATAGATGATCAAATTGAGAGTTCTTGTCGAAGGCTTTGAATCCAGCCAACAGAAGTCCGAGGCCCAACAACAGTGGGAAGAAGAATACATGAGTTTTGCGATGGATTGTTCTACCCAATCGCTCCAGGCACTTTTGCTCCCAAGCTCTAAACCGCACAGCGCACAAACGTCCCGAAGCTTTGCCCTGAAACCACACATCCAATAAATATATTTACATGTTTAAAGTGTTTAAATTTTCGATTTTAATGTTAATAATAGCTATCAAAATTCAAAACTGTATTGGATATAATTAGGGTTCTGAATTTGAAATATTTCACTTGAAATTATGAAAAATATTGTTTCTTCTTTTAAATGTGTTTGGTTATAGATTATAAGAAATAAAAATATATAGAAATAAAGAAAAACATATTTTTTTTTTGATTTATTATTTCATAATATTTATATATTCTATAATATGTAGTGCTGAAAAATATTCCTGGAATTAATTTGAGGTTAAAATGTTTAGGTATATGAGTTATAAAATATTGTTGTATGTGAACCGACCGCGATCCAAAAAATAATGGTTGAATTATTTCAAACCATTAAGTTTAAGTCAATTCCAACAGTGAATGAAATAATAGTGTATTTTAAGTAATTATTAAGTGTACAAAAGTCGTATATGGGTGAGTATGTGAAGGTACTCGGACTGTTTATTTAATACTTAGATCATAATATTTTGTACATTGTAAATATAATATAATATAATTACAATATAGTATAATATAATATGCATTCGCAGAGCTATGGCTCTCAATAATACGTATGATAATATATTATGATATAAAGTTGGTTTATGAGTTTGTAACTTAAGAGTTAAAAGGCAATGTTTAAATTTGTTCTATTATAGATTTGTTAAGCAACTTATAAATTAAATGTAACAAAGTTACATATTTTCTTTGTTTCATATAATAAATCAACTTTTTAAAAATTTTCATTTGGAAGTTGACTACTATAAACTTTTAGATATACCTAATAAACATTTTATTTTTATTTTTCATGAAAATTTTAAAACCCTAGATATAATATATAAAATCATTAACGCTTGTCAGTGGTAGTCGTATATAAGATAAAACAAAATTTAAACAGGTATATTAGGTAAGAGCAAAACATACGATATTATAGTACCTACATATTATTAGGTAAAATATGAGAACCCCTGTTTCGAGATCAGTGGGAGCAATGTGCCAGCTGGATGTTACTTCCTCAACGCTCGTGTATACGCACACACACACACGGAATATATCCATATACATAGGGACAACATTGTGTTGTGTGAAATCATGAGGACCACCCAGACACCTCAATCACAGGGAAAAGGAGACTGGTTGCAACATATAATCATTCCTGGTAGCAATACAGTGTATTGTATGTAATATAATGACTGTTTTAAAAACATATGCGCCGAACACTTAGGATTTGGGTCAAAAAATAGTAACTACATTAACCTTACTGTTTTAAAGGCTAGATACTTACACATTATTACAACTATACTTATATCATTACATTTTAAAAGCGGTTATTACCTGTATAGTATATAGGCACGTTTGTAATCCACATTTAATGGGTTATTAAAAAAAAAATTGAAATAGTATAATTTTGATTATGAAGTATGGACACAATACATTTTGAAATATTACTAACAGCGAAGCAATATCACCTTATTGGGGTGATATTTTTTTCGATATGATAATAATTAGTTATGTAACCTATGTCCTATATAGTTTAGTTCGTCGTACTGGTATTACCTATAATGGTACTATAATGTACTACTTATATTAACAAACGAGTTTAAAAGTATATATTACAACATCCCAATGTCAAATTATACTTTATGAAATAAAAATTATAATATTAGTATTATATTATAATTAAAATATCATGGATTCAAATTTTGTATGTATACTGTCCTTTTCTTATCTATAGGGAAACTTGAAACTATAAGGAATTAAAAAAGTATAACAATAATAAAAAAAACTTAAGTATCTAATAGGTATTGCATTTTATTTCTAATGAGCAATATATACCTACTATTTATACTCTACACCAGAAACACGACCAAAAATCCGCAACCATATGAAAAAAAACACGGTGGAGGATCATTTAGTTTTATTGCGCGCGCCTGAAGGTAAAATGTGTTGCATTATATTGGGGACAATTTGTTGATAATCTTAAAGTTATTATTATAGTATTTTATAAACATGATTTTAGAATTAAAATAATATAAATAAAGGTTATTTCCTGCCTTTACCTATAGGTACAATTCGCATCTTTAATTCCAAATACCTACAGTGAAAAAAATTACCATGCAAAAGCACCTCCCTAATGCTACAACTGTCAGGACTATACTTTCATTTTAAATTTTCATACAAACATTTTTACTACTAATACACAGCACACGCTGTCACTGAGATACGAATAAAAATGTCACGAAGAACATTTAACCGACGGATGCACAAAACCACCTCTACCACCCCTGCTAAATACGCGTTATGTTCAGAGGCCCGTACAGTCTCCCACAAAAGATGTACCGTGTGATGTGTATACAAAAATATGATCACATTCACGCATAAGGAATCGCAGAACAGAAGAATAAAAATCACCCCTAAGCAACGCCCCATACGCTCTTCTATGTCGTTTTTTACATCATCGCTTTCTCCACCTGACGACGATAATATAATATAGTATGCTACAGCGTCCTCGCCCGCTTAGATAGTTAGGTCCCTAACTAAACCCCGGTTGAGTCCAATATCAAGATTTATCAAAAAAGCTAAAATGTATAAATCAGTTCTTAACATGTATAAACACTTTTCTGCCGGGTTACATATAAAAATAATTAACTCAACGGTGTACTTAAATTTAACGGACTAATTGTAGGCCACTAATTCATGTTTAAGGGACCACTATAGCTATAGCTAACCCTATTTATTTTTTAATTGTTTAGTGATAGTTTGTGCAACCCGACATTAATATCTAATAGTGTAATACCAACACCGTGCATCTCGGTGGAGAAGCCGCTGCTCACAATGTCAAAAACCTAGCCTATGTGTGACATTGTAATGTTCATTTTAAGTAGGTATAATGTAGTTATTTATTAGTTATTTATTGACTGATAATTTATCATTATTTCAAATTTATAAGTTGTAGATAACCGTAGACGCCCTGCCTTTGCCGCGGGTAGATCAAACAAGGGGCCGAATAAATATGAAACAATTTAAAAGTCTCTATAGATAATATTATATTTTGTTATAATTTGTCTTTCTATCGAGACGGTTTATTGTAGGTCTCTTCAGCGATTCGGTAAACCCGCGGTAAACATATGTCGAAGTATTTGAACGTTTCAAAAGATATATTATAGGTATAAATGTATAGTATTGTATTAAATATGTTTAATGTACCGGCACATTTCCAACACAAAAGGATACAAATAGTCGACATAATAGATGGTTCCGGACAATTTTAAAATTTTTTATTCAATTTCAAAAGAGTAAAGACACGAAACCTCACACAAAACCCAGCGGGATTAGTAGTCGGCTATCATTGTAGGTAGTAGGTACACTTTGGGAGGTCTGTAACTCGTATAGATCGGACCTCGAATTACGTTTAGCGGTATACCTACTATACGCATCGGCCTTTGCCCTTTAGAGCTTTAGGAAGAATTTAACAGAGCATTGAACAGAGGGAATTCTGAGAAATTAAATGATACGGAATTATTTATGAATTTGGTTATTAATTATTATTTATTATTACTAATGATTCGCGTCATAGTTGTACGTAACTCAACGATCAAATTTACGCGTTTACGCGTTTTTTTCACCATTATAATTATTTTTTACGTCTAAAATAACAGCGAATGACAAGGTAATGAAAATAACATCAACGACTGCAGCGTAATCATACGACGTCGGAAATACTGCTTTGTTCACAAACGTTTGCCGAGGAAATTCGATACGGCTGACGATTTTACGTACCTACTGACACTGAGTATATTAAGTTTTATGCGATTTTCACATTTCACGAGCGTACCCACGAAAGAACGAACGGAGATTCCGTGATATAGGTACTGCAGATAACAAGCATATTATTGAAGCCACAAAGTCGAGACTTGGAGATCATTGGCCCGGGGACAAGGTCGGTCGGATCGAGCCACGCTGCCCGCGGGTGAACTTAACGCTGATAACAATACTATTAAATACAGAATTTTCAAAAATAATCTTTGTACGACATTTCAGAGGGACCCTGTCTCGATATCAGAATCCGTTTACAGCTGTATATAATATTATATCAATATAGTTTACATTGAGTGTGCCTGCATCGCTATAGTTTTATTACTTTAAGGTGTACATCGTAACCGTTGATTAAAAAACAAGAAAACCACAAAGATTCGAACGTACCTTTTCGATTTCTCTACGTGCGACCTGTGCATCTTGAAACGTGGGCCTCACGTACAAGTCCACTGAAACTTTGTCGGACATATCTCCACTGCATCACTTTTAATCGAATGTATCCTCATTGGGAAATAATAACGATTCGAGTTTGTTCGTCATGAAAAACCGTTTCGGAGTAAACGATTTTGAGGCCGGGAAGCGACGAGTAGTAACTAATATAGGTAGGTACCTACCTAGATAGTTGTACCTACCTAGGTAACGTCGTGTATTGTGCGGTATGTATCTATATGTGTAAATATAGGTAAATTATGTCGTATTACTGGCCAGACGATCACGGTGTTTCATTTCGAATGAAAATAACACTACGCGATATAATACTCGATTTAAAAAAAACACAATCCGAAATATATCGAGTCGAATAATAATTAAATTACGGAATAAACCGTCGCGGAACTAGGTGCATGCAATATTTTACACGTACCTACTTATAACCGTATTGTATTATATTATATTATATATTTATAAAATTTTCGACGTTATTACATCTTACGCGGACGAGCACCACGCACACGTTAGGTATAACACACGCACACTAACTACGGTGAAAGAACGGCGAACAGCGGCCGTAGGCGCGCGGCGGAATGTGGAGAGCTGCGTTCGGCGCGGCAGTCGGATCGGAATGGGAGAAGGTTTCTTGAGACCGTACTACAGCGCCGCCGACGAGTGGGCCCGGCACGGTGGTCTCAGTCTCGGGTCTGCGGCGGCGGTGGCGCGGTGGGCCGGCGGCAGATGGCCGAATTTCTCCCACTACCATGTGGCCGTGGTTATAACTCATGGTTGGCGGCATCATGTACACAATATTATAACGTACGTATAGAATAATACGGAATATTGTAGCCCGTAGTCTCGGTTGTAGTGGTGGTCGGGGCCGTGGTAACAGTGCCGGCACGGTACGCGGCGGACATTACCGTGCTGGTATGACGACACAACGTCGCAAGTAGCAGCTGCAGCAGGCTGCTGCATAGCAAGCGGCTGCTGCACATACGACAATAATGAATACAATCGAAGGCGCGCGCCCTCGCTTTTCCTCTGTGGACCGCCGCAGCCTCATCTGCCGCCAAACGCAATTTTAGTCACCTCCGACGCGACCGTACCACCAATGCCGCCGTGCGTACGAAAACACGACTTCCGCGCGCGCTGCCGCCCGGATGATAAACGGCTCTCCAGTCTCCGGTCGAGCGATGTTATATTAATAATAATAATTATTATTATTATTAATAAATAATTAAAATTATAATGTTATACGAACGTGCGCTTCATGCATGGTATTACAAAATAAATAAATACGATTTTTTTGTTTGTCCTAAATCATTGTACTTACAGCTATTTTAGAGTTACAATATTATGCCTAACACAAGTACCACCGTCCACCAGCTACCCATACTTGTCCTTAAAGCCGGGTTCACGCAGCTACTACAATCTCCTGCCGAGTCGTGTGCCTTATATTTTATATCGTATCCCGATTGGCTGTTGTAAACTTGTAACCATGGTATCATTCACTATAACCATTAGTCTAACACTCTAACGGGAAATGTCCAGAGTTTGCGTACCAAACTTTGGGACACGACACGACTGATGACGTACCTACCAAGCAGGTAGCTGTGAACCTGGCTTTATACTATAAACTATAAAGTATAATGCTAAAGTCTATAAGCACTGCGCAGCTACCAGTTGTATAGAAAAACGTGGTACACCTAAAAAAAATTGTATTTATTTTTATCAAAACAGCGCCAAACAAATATATGTCGAGCGCACGTCATGATGACATACACTCAAGCCGTCAAGTGTCTCTCCCACCCAACAATTACTATTGCAATAAACAACATTATGTACCTACTTATGTAATATTATACTATAGATACTCTTATGGATAGCTGATTTTGTTGTTTGAAATTTTGAAATACAGAAACGACCAAACTGTCTGCACGATTTTCGTAATAAAATTGGAATAGTTGTTAAGGTGAGGGGGCGTAGGGAGGTCAATTGCCCCTAGGCACAGAATAAATTTAAGGAGAGAGGTATAACCCATCGACTGACGACTTGATCATGGCTCCCGAAAACAAACACCAATGGGCGCACATATTTCAATTTACTTTAAGATGCTTAAAACAATAAAACCTTAAGGCTCAGCTATACCATTATATTAGTGGATTTTAAAACAAAAAACCATTTACTTATAGCGCTGTACTACAGATAAATTAAAATCAAATATAAACAAATTTAATTTGTCCATATTATATATAGTATACATTATAAAATAAGAAACAAGGCGAGAATTTCTAACCGATATAATGTATTTTTGTTCATATTGACTTTATAAATATAATTTATAATGCTATATTATACTGTGCTCATTAAATATTTTAATACTCATAGGCTATATAGTATAATAGTATAGAATAAAACTATAATTACCCTAAATAATAATTTTAATAATTAAAAGATATGAATATAAAACTAATACACTTTTAAGTTTTTAAGTTTTAATAACCAAAACAACTATGCGCAGTGATGATTTGAAGTGTAAGAGTATAAGACAAACAATTTACATTTTTATAAGTATAATTATTATATATATATATATATATATATATATATATATATACGATGGTTAGTGAGTGTAATTGGTACCATGGTACGTGACACTAAAAATGTATATCGTCAATTAAAATGTTTAGGTATCTGCCTTAGGGGGAACACAAACACCGAACACCAAATACATACCATCCAAATGGCGCTTATTATTGCTTGATGAAACAGAAAACATACCACATAGGTATTAATACAAAACAAATTAAATTAAATGAAAACAGTTCGAGGTATCTGCTGTTTGTACTACGTTGACTTTTGTGGTGCCGTATGACAGTTTAATAATATATTTAAGTATATTATATGTAAATATTATCAAAACGAGTTTTTATATTATAATTTCTTAATAATATCCATATACATTAGCACTAACAGCTATTATTATATAAAATGTCCGTGTAATACACTTTCAATATTTTGACAGTCCAGCTTATATTCCAGCTTATATTAATATATTTTAATCCTATCGAACTTCCTCCAATATATACTGAGCCATTTTTATTATATTGTCAAATATATAAATATATCCTATACATAGGATATTGTTGGTATAATATTATCTACTTAGACACTTTGTGTTTAATAGAACAACACTATTTCCTTAATGCTTACGTACCTTTATAGATATAGGTTTAGAGCTTATTTTCATAAATTACAAACATATGTTTTACACTTTTACTATTATTGGTGCATGGCACGTATGCTCAAAGTAATCGTGTAGGTACCGGGTTTATATATAATGATATATGTTAACTAGTTATATACTCGCGTCTTGCATTTGCATAATATGTATATATTATATTCAATAATCATAAATACATATTAATATTATATACAGTCGAACTCCGGACTATAGAAACGGCGCATTTTTCGATAAAATAATATACATCGTGTCAAATAAATAAATACGACGACAAAAAGGAACAATATTTTACACCACGTGATCGATACTCAAAATTTCTAAAACTCCCCACGGACATTAATAAAATATTATTATTTTATTATATACCATGTTGTACTCTATCCAATATCCTCAGAGCATCGCATCAACGCTCGTGTAGGCTACGTCTCTGTGTGTGTGTGTGTGTGTGTGTGTGTGTGTGTGTGTGTGTGCAGTCACCGCGGCCGCCTTGGTTGTACGTGTGCGAGGCCAACGGACCGTGTCAAATGTACCGCTTTTGACGTCGGACGCCGCCGCCGCCGCCGATATAAATTCTTGAATTTTCCTTGCCTCAACCATCACACACATACACACAATTTCACTCTCTTACACATACAAATACATACAAATACATACGCGTATAATATACAACACTATATATACGCGGTCGTGTCTTCGTCGCAGCCGTCATTCATTGTCAGCATATAAATACGGTGTGTATAATATATATATATATATATATATATATATGTATATATAGTATATTATATACGGTAATTTGTGATTGTCCGTTTCCAGTCATTAGGACCGGACGCACGGATGCTGCGACGGCAGCGATCTCCACCATATATATATATAGTGTACTATACCTAGTACACGAACAGACTTATATTTTATAAAATATATTGGTATTAAGTATAATATGTGTACCTATAAAATGTATATGTGTGTGAGTGTGTGCGTGAGTTTATATTATATACTGTAGTGGTTGTCTTTGAGAGGGTTTGCCCGGGGAAGCGGGGGCGGGAACCATGTCTCCGTCGTCATCGAACTACGCGACCGGACCATATAATATTATCAACGTCGGCGACTCCGAATATAATATAATATAATAAACGCTACTTCACATCTGTCGTACACCCATATAATACACGCATAAATGCTGCTGCAGCGTCAGCTAGCGTGGTGGCCCACACCCTCAAATGTCGTTTAGAATTCATTGTTTATGCGGACGGCGAATGGGAACTATATATATATATATATGTCGTACAACGTATATAATATATAACATAATATATACCATAGTAGATATATTATATAATGGATTCTATGGAAATCGTTCAGTTTATTCCCTTGAACCCTTCTGCAGAAAACGTTCCAATAAATATACGTAGTAGAAGAGTTTGAAAGACGTATAATACACATAAAACAGATGGATTTTATAAAATTGTTTTGTTTCCATGCCACCTACCACCTACACCACGCGAAGCAAACGTATGTATAACATTGTTTTTGCTACATTTCCCATGTGCGAGAAACAGTCATGGTTATTCGTGATGATAAATGTATATAACCCTTGGTTCCATATAACGCCTTTTAGCATGAATTAACTATTATTTTTACTTGATGCGATAATTGCTTCCAAGTTTTAAACGTCAGTAATTATTTTTGTTATAAAATAGAGGTGCAACTGTCAACTGAGCGCATTCAATAAATTAAATAATAAAAACAGCGGACAATGGACATATTTCTAAATTCTACTTATAATTAGCAATTA